GGTGTGGGAGAGGAAGAGCAGTTGTGAGGGGGGGAGGGAGAGTGAGAGTCGATGCTGGAGGTATTGGAGAAGGTGAAGGCGAAGGACGGGGGGGGGGTAAGCCTGAGAGGGGCGGAGGACGGGTCATGGCCAACGAACTGGCTGTGAACAGTCCTAGCCGATCGAGAGCCAGCAGCTTCGCCTATTCACCATGGGAGGAGGAGGAGCAGGACGAGTTGGCCCTGGCTTTCGACTGGACTGCCCAGGAGACGGCGGCTGCCATCGCCGCCAAGGCACTGCGCGCCGCCATTGCGGCAATGCGCGCCGCACCCTGCGCCCCCCCTGCCGTCACTACGGGCAGTCCCCCTCCATCGCCGGAGCGGGAGATCGTCATGGAACGCCTGACCGCTCTGCGATTAGCGCTGCGAACCTTCCGAACAGCTGCATGCTGTTTTGTGGACATGACGGCAACGAAAGAGTATTGGTTGTCCGCCGCGTGGCAAGGGGGTAGTTGGACTCGGCGCAGCAGGCGGAGGAGCAGAAGCCGATTCAGCGGAAGGGTGCCGAGAGAGAGGGAGAGGGGAGGAGGAGGAGAGGAGGCCACGCCGTCTAATCATCACCGTGACGACAATACCATGTCTGAGGCGGGGGGAAGCGGGCAGGTGACACCGCGAGAGCGGGGCGGAGCTCTAGGCAAAGGGGGAGTCGGGGTTGGTGGTGGAGTAGGGGTTGGGGAGGGAGCCCATCCCTCATTGTTGGCGGAGCGATTGGCGGAGCTGGGGGAGGGCCATCATCCCACAGGTACACGTGGGCGATCTCCGAGCAGGTCACTGCGTATGTCACACGGAGCAATGGGTGAGGTGCTCCTGACGCCTCCCCGCGAGGCAGTAGGGGATATCCGTCGGCGGGAGAAAGAGATTCTGCACAGGAAGCGGAGTGCGGACATGGACAGCGAACTCGATGGCCGCTCCTCTGATCCTTTGCTGCCACGTGGCAGGGAAGCGGGTGCTGGTTATCGCGAGACAGGGCGCGGGTTGTCCGAGGGAACGACCCCAACGCCTCAGCGAAGCAGGCGGGTGAGCTCTGGAGGAGGTGGACTAGATTACGCCCTGGCCATGGCCTCCCCACCGGGGTCGGCTTCCCCGAGTGCGGGAGACGTAAGGGAGAGGAGGGAAAATAAGGCGGGGGGGGGGAGCGCGGTGTCGGCTGCTTCGGCCGTTGCAGAGGATTCCCCGGTTTACCGCCAGCAGAGCGCCGGGGAGATACACGAGCTGTATGGCAGGTCGGCGTCGGTGGGGCGTTTCGCTAGGGGGGGAGGATTGGAAGGCGGAGGCGGGGGGGGAAGTCCGCGGTCCGCTCGCAGAGGCTCGGGAGGACCAGCTTATGGATGGGGAGGAAGAATGGTAGCAGGAGGAGGGATTCCGCGAGCGAGCACTCGCGCGTTGTCGGAAATCACATCAGTCGGCAGTCCTCCCACTACTGCTCGATCTGGCAGACACCCGGAGAGCCGGCACAGCGGTGGCGGAGGCGAGCGGAAGAGCGGCGCGGATCGGGAGCTCGATCGGGGGAGACGGACAAGTCAGCAGCATTCCTCCCCCTCGTTAAGCGGACTCGGAGGCTATCCGTCGGGAGGGATGGGGGAGGATCGTGAAGCGGGGAATGGAAGGCAGGAGCGAGGCGCGGAAGGAGGCGGCGGCAGCCGCCCCACAGGCACGGCGAAGGCGGACAAGTCGGTCTCTACCTCGATCGCGATCTCCGGCTTGTTGCTTCCGCCTCCAGCGGCGCCTCTGCCAGTCCAATCAGCGGGGAGAGGTGCGAGCTCCGCCTCCGCCGCCGCCGCATTAGCAGCGGGAACAGGACCGGGGCCAGCAGGGTTAACCGCGGAGCAGTCCGAGCTAGACAAGGGGAAGCGTGTGAGGGGAGATGGGGTCGCTGTACCCCCTGGAGGAGGAGGTATTCAGATCAATGTGTCCAGCCGGAAGGGTGCGAACGACGGCGCCGCTGCCTTCCCCGTGTCCTCGGAAATGCCGAATGGGATTACCGTTGAAGGCAATGGGAGAAGAGGAGAGGTGAAAGAGAGCGAAGAAGAACAGAAGGCTTTGATCGGAGCTGCAGGTGGGGAGGAGGTGGTAGCGGGGAAGGCGGGCAAGATCAGGACAAAAGGCAGGGGCAAGGAAAGGGAGCTGGTCCGCGTTGTTTGCACTGGCTGCGAGAGGTCCGCCGAAGTTGACCCGGAGGAATTGGAAATGATTCAGCTGGGAACGAAGGGTAGCTGCGACTCGTGCTTCGAGTTGCTGGTGTTGAGGGAGCCGTTCGAGAGACGACAGCAATGGGGAGAGCTGGATGCGACCATGTCCTGCCATACATCGGACGGGTCAGACGTGGACTCGGAGGGGAACTGGAAACCGGGAAGCAGAGGGTTCTTCTTCAGAGCAGTACAGTTTGGGCGCCTCGTAACAAGGCAAGGTAGATAACAAATGATCTCTCGTCATATGCTCTCCCACTCCAAAAAGAATTCGTGTGCCGTTTGTTCAACTTCTTTTTTTTTTTTTTTCATGTTTTTTTGAAGTTCAGGTCATGTCATTCAACGAAATTTAAATACAAAACCAACTATGGTTGTCCACCTCTTCTATCTGGTATAGTAGTTCGATTAATTCCTATCACATTATTACTACTATTTGTAACTGCTTACTTAACTAAGGCCTTGCTGGTTTTGACCAACAGCAGGCAGAAGGCCAATCTTTCTCTATTAGCTTTCATTCGTTTACACATTTTTTTACGACAAAGAGAATCTGTACGGATTCACCGTACGGATTCCACCGCGTACGGATTCACCGTAAAGATATTCAATGTAACTAGACAAGCTGCAAAAAAGAACATAACAGTATTGATGCGGTGGAATCCGTACGGTGAATCCGTATGAACTCCATATTGAATTTAGATATTCATTTAGACAGTAGTTTTTTTACTATAAATTAAGTACTGATCACCGCGTCGATACTGTAAGTAAGCAGTGTGGTGTTTCTACATAGTACAGTATTTTCTACCCGTTTTTCGTGGTATCTGAGGGTCAGTTGAAGTGTCCATACTTATGCATCTACATGTTGTCATCGGGGAAACCTGAGTCCGGAGATGGAAACCTGGGTTCAAAAAATGCAGCAGTATTGACAGCTCTTTCTTTTTTTTTTTTTTTTTTTTAGTATTGACAGCTCTCGCTTGTACTGGTCGCGTTCGCAAGTCGAAAGGAAATTGTATTCCCTTTCTCTTTCTTTTGCCTCTATGAGGTCTGCTTTCCTCCTTTTCTTTACCTCTTTGCCTTTTGGCTGCGTCCAAGTGGGTCCTTGTGGCACACCGGGATGGAGGCAGCCAGCGCCCAATTTGTCATTCACGTGGCTGGCCTTGTACGTAAGAGGTGATGAACAGGCGGGGCTTTCTTTTTTTTTTTTTTTTTTTTTTTTTTTTTTTTTTTTTTTGGGGGGGTTTTTTTTTTTTTTTTTTTTTTTTTTTTTTTTTTTTTTTTTTTTTTTTCGTTCTTCAGGCGGGGCTTTCCTTCCTTCCTTCCTCTCCTTTTTTTTGTGTTGTCTTTTTCCGCCTTTGCGCTCCTCCGATTCAGTGTGACAATATGGGCCTCGCTGCACTACTTTCGAAATGTGCAAAACGAGAGTGAATCTTCCGTAGAATATGGAAAGATACACGGCCATGATTTTTGTCTTTTGTGCATGTCGAGAGTAGTGCAGCGAGGCCCTATATATATATCTAGTACTCTATATGATTCAGTGCGTGCTTGCACTAGGATTCTCCCGGATGTATATGAACGGAATTAAAGCCACACCTCTATGTATCTGACTGCAAATTGCGTCCAGAGCTTAGTCAAAACAGTCTTTAGTGTGAAATGCTCTGATCCGTAAATGTCACTTACGACGTTAAGTAACCATTGTCGGCGGCATTACTACGCTTGTGACGAGGATGGCCTCGTCATTGCTTTTTATTTATTTATTTATTTATTTATTTATTTGTTCGAGGTATTTGTTTACTTCCTTCGTGTTTGTTCATTCTTTTGCGCGCATGTGTTTCTTGTTTTTTTTTTTTATTTGTTTTTCTTCCGTGCACTGGAAGTTCTTCGTTGTCTTTTTCTTCAATGCTCTAGATATTTGGAAGTGTCCAGTATCTTTTTAAATCACCTTCTTCACCCGAATACAACGTACGGTCATTATTGCTGTATTGAGACGGAAAGATACCCCAAATACAGCTATAATAAAGTACTGAGCCGTCGGGGTAAAAAAAACTCGTACCATCGGATAGCAAGTACTGAGCCGTCGCGGTTTAAAAATTTTACATCGAGCTGTCGCGGGTAAAAAATCTTTTACCATCGGATAAGCAAGTA